TCCTGCTGTCCTCCCCAGTGGCCATGAGCTCCAGGCAGCAGGTGAGGAGCAGGAGCAGCTGGTGTGTTGTGCTCCAGCTGTGTCTGCTGCCAGACCAGCCCTTAGGTGCATCCCAAGCTGCGAAGGAAGGGTTGTGGATTGTCCTTTGGCAAAGCCTTCTGAGCATTTCCTCTTCTGCCCTGTGGGTTTCTTTTAGAGGCAAAGAGCTGGAACAATCAGGAGACCAAGCTCTTTAAATGACCTCGACCACAGCCAGGAAGAAAGAGAAGTTGATTTCCTGAGGCTGCAAGTCATTGAACAACAAAATCTCATTGATGAGCTCTCCAAGGTAAGATGTAACCCTGCAGCTGTCCTGCCAGGTCAGCTAAGGCCACAGCAGAAGAGCAGGGAGCCCAAGGAAGGGGTGCTGGGGCTCTGCCAGCTGATGGACTTAGCTTGCACCAGTGGGTCACAGTGGGCATTGCTGGGATCAGTAGTGGCTGACCAGAATATAAGTTATCTGAGGTGCAGTGTTTGGAAAAATCTCTTCAACCTGTGCTGCCCTGGTGTGACAGAACCACTGCAGCACCTCCAGTAGTTACACTGGGATCCAGACCCTGCACCTGCCTGAGAAACTCCTGGAGCTCCTTCAGCTGGAGACAGCACCAGGGCTAACATTGCTGTGGGCAGGGAGGGTGCTCTGCAGTGCTGTGTTCTCAGTCTTTGGGAAGAGCAAAAGCTCAAATCTCAATGCTCCTCAAGAAAAGAAACTATTTTCTGTTTTTAATGTCTGTACACTTAATGGCATCATTTCATTCTTTCTTGTTAGACCCTGGAAACTGCTGGATACGTGAAGAGTGTCATGGTAAGAATGAAGTTAACTTTATCCTCATCTTCTGTAAGCTTTGAACTCATGAAAAGCACACAGGGCATGGTGATGTTTATTATCACTTAAAACTCTGATCAGACAGCAAGCTAACTCAGTGTATTTCTCAGTATAGATATTATAAAGGGCAGAAGTTGTTCACCAGAGAAAAAGATAGTGATGGTGGGGAGGAAAGCTCTGGTGAGAGATGAAAGCTTTTTCAAGTGGTAGGATGACCTCCTAGTCAAACGTCAGCATGGTCACCCTGTCCTAATGGCCAACAGTGAGTGTTCCCCATCTCAGGGTCACCTTGGAATTGCATCCTCTTTGGGGTCTGATTACCACTAGCTTTGTCTCCCCCACACTGGCTGTTCTGCCCCTGCCCTTTCCCAACTCATCCCTTTGTTACTCTTGGTAAAGGTTTTGGGAGCTGAGCTGCGGATATGTCTGGATAAACCTGACTGCTGTGTTCTTCATTGCCAAGTCTGCAGCACTGCCTGTGTTGCCAAGCAAACCAAGTCTTTGGTTTTCTCCTCTCACTGCTGCTGGTGTTAGGGTTTGCCACTGAGCTGATGGGAGTGGCACATCATCAATGGCCACAGTACCATTGCATCCTCTTACCAACCCTCTGCAATCCTGGCCTTTGCCTGTGTTTGCAATCCAGAATAAGACTGGGTTTTTTTGGTACTATAAAAAATAGACATGACTCTCTGAAGAGTGACACAATATCCACTGAACAGAAAAATTTACTGGCAGCAATGAATCCTCAGACCTTGACTTGGAGGCACTGGGAACCTGCAGATCCTTAAAGAAGGAGCTGAGACTGCAAGTGCTGGGTTCAAACTGTCCTGAATTCTGTGTAGTTGGGCTGTGTGCACCTCCCAGAGGGCACAGACAGCCCTGACTGATGGTGGCTTCACTTTGAGACAGTTGCCAGCACCGACAGGACTATTTCTAGATTGCCCAGTGATGACTACATAGTTACTTTAAAAGAAACACTTCTCTGAAACCAGCTAATGTCTGTGTCTGGTTCTTTCAGGAGCGTGATAAGCTGTTAAGGTTTAGGAAGCAAAGGAAAAAGATGGCAAGAATTCCTAAGGTGAGAAAAAAGCTTGTATTGTGACATGCTGGTGGGCCTGCTGGCTCCCTGGGCTGCTCTGAGAGCCTCGGAGCCCCACACAGGGGAACGTTCTCCTCGAGGGGCTGCAGATGGGACCTGATCTTCAGTTTGGGTTGTGTGGTTCAAGGACACTCCCAGGCTGTGCTGGGATATTCAGAAAGGGCCTGGGAGGGGCAGGGGAACCACTGGCATCACACAGGACCAGCATGTTCTGTGTTTGCCCCCAGCAGCCCCCTGGGACTTCAGTGGTATGGGATGGTCTTCAGATGAGACATGAATTGAGACACCTCCAAATGCTCTTTTCGTGGCGCTGCCGGGAAACACGTGTAGGTTGTAAATAATTCAGTGTGGAGTTTAGTAACGTGGAAAAATTGCTGGTTACAAGAAGCCAGGGTTGGAGCTCAGAGAAAAAGAAAATGTTAATGCAGACCTGGCAGGATGTTAATGTAAATATTAACCCTGTAACAATGGTGTGAGGTATCGGTGGCAGGGACCTGGAGCAAGCTGCCTGCTACACTTGAAGAATTAAGGTGCTGTTGGAGCTAATACATCTATAATTAACACATTGCAGTTGAGGTGACACAAGTCCTGAACTCCTGCAAGTGGCAACCAGGCCTTGCAAACTGAGCTACATTTTTGTCTCCTTCCAAAGTTATCCACTGCAAATTAAACCAAAAAAAGGCTAAATTTTGAAATGTTTTTGTAAATCATCAATTAAACATTTCTTTAGAATTACATTTGAAATATCACCTTTGCCTTTCAAGCATTTAACAGTAAATCTTTCTTTGCCACCAGTACCCTCATTGTTATAAACAGAAACTAGCTTGTAGTAGGCAGCTGGATTTCTTCAATCTAAAACATTGTTGTGGTGATTTAATGGATCAAAACTGGAAGAGAGATTTAGATGAGATATTAGGAAGAAATTCTTCACTATGAGGGTGGTGAGAGCCTGGCCCAGGTTGCCCAGGGAAGCTGTGGCTGCCCCATCCCTGGGGGTGTTGAAGGGCAGGTTGGATGAGGCTTGGAGCAACCTGGGCTGCTGGGAGGGGTCCCTGCCCATGCAGGGGGGTTGGATCTAGATGATCTTTAAGATCTCTTCCAATTCAAACCATTCTATGATGATTCTATGATTAACTTCCAACTTTTCAAGTAGAACATTTCTTGGAAATGTAACTTTTTGTGTGACAGTTGCAGTAGTGACAGGAGGGACATGATGGTGATGGATTAACAGAGACATTTCAATGCACAAGGAGTAACAAATGCTCTGCCTGAGCTAAACACTGGGAGGAGAATACATTAAAAAAAGGCAGGGGCCTTGAGGCTGGGCTCTCTGCTCCCTAAGAACAAATGGGGCAGGTCAGTGGTCTGAATAGTTTTGGCTGTTGTTAGAGCTGTATCATGGGGTGAAAAAACTTCAGATGTGCAGACCCTAAAGAACTGGGCCAGCTTTTCAAAAAGCAGGCGAGGGAGAATTCCCAGGCCTGGGGTTGAGGTTGCTCTGAAGGTGCACGTGTTCAGACCCCCCGAAGGCACAGGGTGGAGCCAGGTGTCCCTGGCCCCACTGGCCCCACTGTGCTGGCCACACAGGGCTGTGCCCACTGACACCTTCTCTCTGCCAGAAGCCGGTTGTGGAGACGTTTTTTGGCTACGATGAAGAAGGTTCCTTGGAGTCTGATGGCTCCTCTGTCTCCTACCAAACTGACCGGACAGACCAAACCCCTTGCACTCCTGAAGATGACTTGGAAGAGGTATTTGTCAAAAACATCTGTTCTTGTATTTTGAAACATCAGTACTGATTTTGAATGACATTGCTGGTTTGTCACATCATTCCTTTGTCACCTCTGACCAGAAATGTTTAAATTTATGTTAAGTGTAAGGCTGTGCATGCTGGTTAATATCTCTGGATCTCAGCTCTTCAGTCATTTCACAACTTCCAGCCAATCTGAAAATGTTATAATCTAAGAGTGTTGGATTTATAATGGGCTTAAAGGTTAGAGGTTGAAAAAGACTGAGAAGTTGGAGAAGCCTGGGATGACCTGCTCTCAATGAGGTTTGCTGCAGGTTTGTGCACGTGTAGTTTGGGTCAGGTCCTTCTGTTCTTCGCTCTGACCTGGGCACAGAGCAGAGCCTTAAGGCACAAGGTTTGTGTTTCTGGAGGGAGAAGCAGTCCCACGAAACCCCAGTCCCCAGAGGAAAGACTGCCTGCTTGCTGGGATACGGGGCTGGTGCCTTTTCTGCAGGCTCTGAGCGCAGGGCACACAGAGGTAGCTGCTAATGCAAACACAAGAGATGATTCCTGGTATTTGGCAGAGCTTCCCTAGGGATGCATTCCCGAGCATGTGTCAGATCACTGCACCATTGTATGTTTCTGGGTTTAACAAGAGTCTTTTGCTAGCAGTGACCTGCAGGCTTGTTATGGTCAGCTGGCTGCAGGTTTTCATCTGCCATTTCACCTGTGTCATGGGCTGTAATTAGAGCCATTTAAAGGCAACCTAAAGAACTCTTATCTCCATCATAAAAGATCTGTGGCTGGTTACCAGTTGTGTGCTGCACTGCAGGGAATCAGGGTCTGGTTTTATATGTATGAGCCTATTTATTTTTCATCCTGGTATTGACATTTTTCCCCCTGTTCAGAGAATGTGGAGTCTGTGCGTGCAGCCAGCAGGGTAATTTCATTTCATGTGGAATGAAATATTCCAGCCAACCTGACATGAAAGCCTTCAGTGCTGGATGTTGTAAGGAGAGGGAAGGAGATCAAGGGCTCTTTTCATGTTGTTGTCACCATTGCTACGAGTATTAATGCTAGATCAGTGGTTCAATAATTGAGGGAGACTGTCAGGCTTGTCTTCTTCCCCAGATTGGAAACCTTTTGTTGTTTCAAGAAAGTTGTATTTTCACCTTCAGATGTGGAGCCTTTGCCTGTTACAGGAAGGAAGGGCAAATCAGTCTTCAGTATGTTACATGGATGGCAAGTTTTTATCTTTCCAAGGTGGGGGGAATTATACATTTTGTTTCTATATCACATTTTCATGAAGTAAGGGTGTGCAGGAGATGCTGAAGGGATAGAAGAGCAGCAGCCTGAGGGCACATAAACAAGGTCCTTAGCACCGCGCGTCCCGACTCGCGCTTTGAAAGTCGTAATTTGGGCACTTCTTCGGCAAAGCAGCATCCTCCATTATCCACTTCTATGATATTTTAATTATTGTAGAAAAAAATAATATAATATATATATTTATATAAAGCAATGCCTCTTTGTGCTGATTCCCAGGGCATGGCCAAGGAGGAGACGGAGCTGCGGTTCCGGCAGCTGACGATGGAGTACCAGGCCCTGCAGCGCGCGTACGCCCTGCTGCAGGAGCAGGTCGGAGGCACGTTGGATGCAGAGCGAGAAGTTAAGGTCTACATGGCTTATATTACCTGGAAGTAAAGGATTGTCATGGCGGGGTGGGATCCGGTTGTGCTCGCCAGGGTTGTTTCCAAGCTAAGGTGGGGTTGGCCAGCCCCTCCAGCACGCCAGGGTGGGCTCTGGGGTCTCTGAGCCCAGCCAGCCTGTCCTGGGAACCACCCTTATGGTGGTTTAGTCTTCTCACCTCTGATCAGTATGAGAGAAATTCAGACAGAATTTTTATGGGAAATCCATAAAATTCAGTTCTTTCTCTGTAAAAATCTAGGACAGCTTCTTCACTCATCAAAAACGTAAAGGGACCAGGCGTGCCCAGAGCTGTGACATTGTCATTTTCAGTGGTTGTCATGGGGAAACCAACCTTTGTGTTACCCTGCTTTTATGAACAGCCCATTCCGAGGCAGGGAAGGCTGCTCTCTGCAGCCCATCACCACCAGCTGCAAGAAGCCATTTCTAGTTTGCTGTCCTGTCTACCTGAGGGGATGCTGTTTATGTTAATCTTGACCTAAGTCTCAAAATTATTATCCTACCTTACAGGTCCCCTTTGATGATTAATGACTCGTGCTCAGCTGCAAATTTATTATGCTAAAGAACTTTTAAGAGTATTTGTTAAAAGAATTTGACATTTGAAGTATTTTCCATAGCTGTGTTAGCTTTTGTCTTTTAGAGGAAGTTGGGTTTATTGCTTTTTTCTTTTTCCCTGGTTTCCTACAGACACGTGAGCAGCTCCAAGCAGAAATACACCGCTCCCAGGCCCAGATAGAAGACCTGGAGAAGGCTCTTGCACAGCAGGGGCAGGTAATGCAGGCAGCCCAACCCCAGCCCCTTCTCCAGCCCTGGTGCTGGGGGCTCTGGGGACTGCCTGCTCATGTCACCCTATCATGCTGCTGGTGCTGGAGAGTGTTTGTGTATGGGGAGAACAATCCTGCTGCCACGTTTCCATGGCTGTTTCAGTCTGTGCAAACCAGACGTGCCAGCCCTGTCCCTGCAGGCTGTTGTGTCCTGACCTGCACAGCCCCCTGCCACCCCTGCACCCTCAGTTAGGAGATTCCAGTGTAACCTGCCAGGACTATTTCAATAAACCTGCCCGTCAGTTCCAAGGAGAGCCATTAATACATTGTCTATTTGGTTTCAAGGCATCCAAGGGCTTTTGAAACCCCCAGTCTTCACATTTACAGATGGTAGTATCTCAAACATCAGCCCCAAAGCCCCAAGTCCCCATCAGTCCTGAAATCAGCTCCCATTAAAGCCCTGTGGATCTTTGCTGCTGTCAGCCTTAACTCCCCACTTGCTGTTTTGTTTGTCCTGAAAATTAAATTGGTGAATAGCAGGTCAGTTCCCTTATCAATTTGCAGATGTACATAAATACATAAAGTATTATGGTAAAGACAGGGAACAATTGTGTTTGGCAAGAAGCCTGGTTTAAAAATCTCAGAGACTACCAGTGTTTTTGCTGCCTAGGAGAAAACTGGGGAGGTAAGATAAAGGAGTAAGATTTATTTTGTAATGGAATGTTTACTTAGTGAATGTAACAGTAGCCTTTCCTTGCCAGCAGCTTTCCTTGTAGTTCCACAAGATTTTATATTTCTTAAAAGGAGAAAAGCAGACCTTAAATTAGAAAGTGATTAGTTGTTTCAAGGAGAGGAGGAGGTGCACAGCCCGGGTTGTGTATTTTCAGCAAAACCAAAGTGTTTGTCCTCCTGGGAAAACTTCGCTGTGAATGCTTCCTTTGAATTCCTAGTAAATTTGTATATTAGTTCAGCAGTTTGAGGAGCTCCCCGTGCAGCCTGCTCATGCAATATCTTGTCAAATCATCTCAGTCATTCTTTGAAAAAGGATTAATTTGAAACACAATTGAATAATCTATGAAACTGCACTCTAGGAAATTTGCTCTAAGTGATTCACACGAAGCACATCACCTTCAACCAACCTCTGCTGAGCTCTGCCTTTTTCCTCCTGTCAGGCATAATTAACATGTCTTATTTTTGCTTTGATATGTTAAGACTTTCACTTGAGTAATTTTAACATCTGAATTCACTGCAAGGTGTCTGCTGGTGCATGACTGGCTCAGGGACCTGTCACCTTGGCCTGACCTTGAGTTTTGGCTCAGCAGAGCCAGCCCTGCTGCAGCTTTTGGGGGGTGACACAGCCCCTGGCCCTCACTGCACCCCTGGCTGCTGGATGGACCCCTTGGTTCTGCAGAGCTGGGGCCCAGGTGTTTGCCAGTCACAAATGTTCTGCCCTAGCCAGTGCTGAGAAGTCTTTCCCAGGTGTTCTCCAGGCAGGAAGGAGCTTGGGTACCAGGAGTCCCTGCTCCCCTGCCCGCAGAGCTGGGGGCTCCACCTGCTCAGCACAGCCCTGTGGTCCCTCGGGGGGTGCAGGAGCAGCCAGTGCCCACATCCACACCTCCAAAATGGGGAGCACCCCGGAAGCTCAGGGCAAGAAAAGGCCTGGAGCAGCTCTGCTCTGGAGCCAGTCTGGGGGTGTTGGGGTGTTCAGCCTGGAGAAGAGAAGGCTCCAGGGAGACCTGAGAGCAGCTTCCAGTGCCTGAAGGGGCTCCAGGAAAGCTGGGGAGGGGCTTTTCATCAGAGAGGGCAGTGATAGGACAAGGGGTGATGGTTTTAAACTGAAAGAGGGGAGATTTAGGTTAGATATTAGGAAGAAATTGGGTGGTGAGAGACTGGAATGGGTTTCCTAGGGAAGTTGTTGATGCCCCATCCCTGGAGGTTTGTAAGGCCGGGTTGGACGAGGTTTTGTGCAGCCTGGTCTGGTGGGAGGGTTTCCTGCTCATGGCAGGGGGGGTTAGAACTTGATGATCTTTGAGGCCCCTTCTAACCTGAATGATTGTATGAAGCACCTCCACTGCACCAGGCAGCACCCTGCTCCAAGGCTGGGAACGGGGCAGTCCTGCTGGGCCCTGACCTGGGCAGCACTGCAGGAAAGCACCAGGAGGAAAATGCACCTGGAACTGGGACAGTGCAGAGTTTGGAACCACCTCACAGGCCAGCATCCAGTGGGATCAGGAAACAGACCTTCCCCTGGCCTTGGGATAGCCTGGGGAATGAGGTATTGCAGGCTGCAAATATCCATCCCCAGCTGGAAATACAAGAAATGTTCCCAAGCTGTTTCTAGCTTTGTCTTACTGTTCCAGCCAAAAAAACCCAACAACACAAAAAGCCCAAACAAAACCAAGCAAACAAACAACAACAAAAAAAGCAAAAAAACAACCACAAAAAACCAAAAAAAACACCCAAAACCCCACCAAAACCAACAAAAACACCACAAAGCAACCAAAACACACAACATTATTTTTGAGAACTTTAGAATAATATTAAATAATTTGATCTTTACATTTCCATCTTAACCTGTTATTATTGTTAACCTTTCTGATAAATACTGCTCTGGGGTTTGTGGCTTTTACATGTCCATCAGACTAAGAAATCAGCTTCAATATAAGGTTCATTTTGCTTACTATTCAGAAATAAGCAATTTGCATTCACTATAATTTAAATATAATAGCAGCACCATAGCTAGAAATGTCCCTTTTAATGCAAACTAATCTTTTATTTGAAAATGGCTTTTTAACCATGTGTTTCTGTTCCATTTGTCTACTACAGACCATTGAAATGAGATGCAAAGGGAGAGCTTTCATATCATAGGAAAGAATGGAATTACAGTTTCATGTGCAATATTATTCTGTCCCTCTTCTCTCAATGTGTGATGTAGTGAAATACTTGCTAGTGTGTTTGTGCTGAGCCTTGGCAGCCTCACCTGCAATGTTGGTCATTTCTCTTTCAAGGACATGAAGTGGATTGAGGAGAAGCAAGCGTTGTATAGAAGAAATCAAGAACTGGTAGAAAAGGTGTTCAATGTTTCTACTTGTATTATTCTAACAACATTTGTAGATCTAGGAATGCAGAAGGTGCAGTGTTGTGATCTGTGTCACACAGCTTGACTGGAAACAATCTGGGTATAATAACAAATCCTGATAAACCTGCCAGAAGAAGTGGTTTTCTGGCATTTCCTTTTGCCTCATCAAGTGTCCCAGCATGAGGTTGTGTGGGGAAGAGCCCCAAGTTCCTGCAGTGTGGGTGCTGACCCCGGGGGGTGGGCAGGGACCCTCAGCCCTTGCTCCCAGCCCAGCAGTTCCCCAGCTGTGCTGTCAGCACAGCAGATCTCAAGGGACACAGGGCTAACATGTTGCTTCTGTATTTTGCAGATAAAACAAATGGAAGCCGAGGAAGCTCGCTTGAAACATGATGTCCAAGATGCCAAGGATCAAAACGAGCTCCTGGAGTTCAGGATCTTGGAGCTTGAAGTGAGCAGATGCTGCAGGCAGGGTCCTGCCTGCCCTGGGCTGTGTGAGCTGAGCCTGGGGGCACCACCACGACGGGAACCGACCCATGGTCACTGTCACATCCCTCATTGCACTGAACGAGACCAAAGGGATTGGTACAAAGTGCTGATACAGGAGGAAAAAAGCCCCAAGCAAGCACACAGGGATCAGTACTGCTATTCTGGATAGGATGTGCTGGCAGTCGTGTACTGGAGGCATTTTAAGATCCAGAAGATTAGCTCATGATGTAGATACACATTTTACTGTACCCCATCTGTTCTGAAAACACAGAGAGAAAACCAGAGCAGAGCGTTTGTGGGAAAGAGAAAGGGAATGTTTTTCATTGCAAAAATTCATGGTTGTGTTTCAGCTCCTGCTGGACCTGCAGGGGAGGAAACACGTGGTCTAGACCACTGTGTTCAACCCACTGGGCCTTCTCTTTTCTGTATCATTGCCTGTATCTATAATCTCTTGGAAACTGTTTTACAAATTCCCCAAAGAGAGATTAACAAAAGCAGCCACTTACAAGCAAAATGTAAATGCCATTATGTGAGGTGTAAGTGTACAGTTCTGTTCAAACATATCATGTAGTCAAAGCTGTAGGTAAGTGGTCACGGTGGTGCCCTGTGAAGAAGGGTGGTGGGAAGATGCTGGCAATGTTCCCGTGCACATCTGGGCTGCTTCAGAGTGTGGAGATCCTGCTCCTGGCTGTCGGTGCCCGTAGCCACGGGGGGCAGAAGGATAACACGCTGCTTTGCCACGTTTTCAGGCCCTCAGCCTCTTCAAACCTCAGTTACCAGGTTGGTGGAGCTGCCGTTTGTGACGCGCCCTGTTGCTGTCCTTGCAGGAGCGGGAGCGCCGGTCGCCTGCCATCAACTTCCACCACGGCCCCTTCACCGAGGGGAAGAGCCCTCTGCAAGTCTACTGTGAGGCAGAAGGTGTAACAGTAAGGGATGCTCGTTTCCTGCTTTCCTGCCCCTGAGTAACATCAGGCGCTCTGTTCTGACTCCCGGTTTTCCATTTCTCTCTCGTTAGGACATAGTAGTAGCAGAGCTGATGAAAAAATTGGACATTTTAGGGGATAACGCCGTAAGTGTATGTTCCTTTAATAAATTGTGCATGCTTTGGTACCCGTGCCCTCATCCTCAGCTAGCACTGCCTCCTTGGTTTGCTGCTGCACAGCCTGTGCTCCGGGTGCTGGGCTGCCAGCTGAGCGTGTCCTGGCTCTGGGAGACCCTGTTCCCAGGCTCCTGGGCAGCGCCTGCTCCGGGTGTCTCTGCCTTGCTTCTACTGTGCAATGATTTGCAAAATACTTCAAAACCTCGTTGTGGTTTGGGTTTTGTTGCTGTTTGTTTGGGGTTTCTTTCCTGGGGACTGTGCACACATGGATTCTTTGTTTGCTTACTCTGCCTTCGCTTTGCTCTTGAGCAGCTGCAGTGTTTGAGCTTTGCCTGATAACCCATAAACCTTCCCCGGTAACTGGGGTGTTAAAAAGTTACAACAGCAGCAGTGGAAAGAAGAAACAAATGCTGAGAAAACTGCCAGTGTTTCTCCTTTAGCAAATGCCAGTGATACACTATACCTAGTTATGTAGACAGAAGGTACCAGTGCCAAGAAGTTAGTGGAGGAGCTGAAACGCACCGATGCAATTAATAATCCTCACCACTGCTGCAGTTAATGACATTCACATGGGCAGAAATACCAAGAATCCTAAAATCTTGTCCTTGCAAAGGCCAAAAAGAGACACATAGAAGCTCAATCACCAGCAAGCTGTGACAAGCAGGCAACTTGGAGACAAACAGGAACTGAAAAACTGACAGCTTTTCTCAAATTTATATTCTCTTCCTCTTGGCTCCTTTGCTGCTATCAGTGACCTCTAGTCTACACTGTTATTTTCTCCTGGTTTATCTTTTTCCTGTTGCACAGAGTGTTACTTCCAGAGGCGACACAAGGGGGAGTTTGCAGTTAGCTTTAAGATAGGCCATTGTTATCACTTGTTTGGTTTTGTTTATTCACGTATTTAACTTTTTTTTTTTAAAGCATCAAAACATGGATTGAATAACTAACATCTTAACTATCGTTGCCTTGGCTGTGCAAAATAAGGCTTGTGTATTATCATGTGCTTATGAGCTGAAGGATTTCAGACTGCATCTTTTCTCAGAGGCACATTGTGCTGAGCTTCATCTTGTCTTGTGTAACAGTGTGTTTATTCCCTGAAGGGTAAAAATAAACCCAGAGTCACCTTTTTTAGAAGAATTAACTATATGTATGATAAGAATTCAGCAGGAATAATTACAGTTGTTTCTACAACAATATTTCATGACAATACTAATTTTCTTTGCCTTAGTTTATTGTTCCTTGAGCATATTTAATTTCATATTTATTTAATACAGCAGAGGCCCAAGTAGTGGATTAATAACAAAACACTGGGATTTGTTGTAATTCTATTCTGCTTTTGGTGCAGAATCTGACCAATGAAGAGCAAGTAGTTGTCATACAAGCAAGGACAGTTCTCACCTTGGCTGAAAAGGTAAGAACAACTGTATCACTTGTCAGTAAACACATCCTGAAGCCTCTGAGCCTCTCACAATAGCTCTCTCAAAGACACTGGTGATGTAAATGGTGGTTTCATCACAAGATGCCGTGGTTCTTTCTGTGGAATTACACTTAAACTAGTTATTGGCAGATAAAGGTGACACTGAGGCAATACCAATAGACATTTGGACATTGGAAGGGGCTGCCCAGAGAGGTGGTGGAGTCACCATCCCTGGAACTGTTCAAAAGAAATGTAGATACAGTGCTTAGTGACATGATTTAAGCACTGACTGGGTAGGTCAGGTGATGGCAGGGGGAGTTAGGTTATGGTTGGACTTGATGACCATCAAGGTCCCCTCCAACCGGGATGATTCTGTGGTTCTACATTGCTTATTTTAAGATGTTTAACTTGCAAAACGGTGTTAGAGGGTAAATGAGGCTTGGAAAGAAGGCCCTTAGCCATCAGCAGTACCTGGGGGGGGAAGGGTGTCCTGGTGTCATTAATGCAGTGACTGTCACCGAGGGCTTGCGGCGTGTGTCACCCCAGGTCTGGGGGGCAGCTGCCCCCGGGGGGGCTGACACCCTGCTCTGCTTGTCTGCACAGTGGCTGCAGCAGATCGAGGTGACCGAGGCTGCGCTGCAGCAGAAGATGCTGGACCTGGAGAACGAAAAGGTAGGGGAGCTGTGGGGCAGGACCCGCGGGGACAGCCAGGGCAGGGGCCGGGCACTGACCCCCTCTCCCTTGGCCCCAGGAGCTGTTCAGCAAGCAGAAGGGGTACCTGGACGATGAGCTGGACTTCAGGAAACAGTCCCTGGACAAAGCTCACAAGGTGAGGAATGTCAGTCTTGGCTGAATTGCAACCCCCTGAGCACCTTCCCTGGTGTGACAGGCATGGGCTGTGCTACAGACTCGCTGCTTTGCAGGGCACTGCCCACCCAGCCCCCCAGGAGCACATGGGCTGAGTGGGACACAAATCCTCTGCACCCCGGGCTGACAGGGAGCTCCCTATGGGCAGGGCTCCTTGTGTTGGCGTGGTCCTTGCTGGATCAGGACCTTGATACTGATTTATTACATACAAACTGTAGTTTAGCAGAGGTTTTGATAAATAGCTGACAAGAAAATGGTGTTTTCAATCATTACTCTTTTCCTTCCAAAAGAGAGATTTTGAGAGAGGTGTCCTTAGATCTTTGATTATAGCCTCTGTAACCAAATAGCTGGAGAGATGATGTGATTCTGTAAATTTGAAATGAAACCGGTTTTAGGTCAGGCTCATCACTGGCTGTTCCCACACCATTTCACCCACCTCTGCAGTCACCAGCTGTCTTGTATCCTTCAGCTAGAGAAAAGCTCGATATATGCTCATGAAAGACATAAATGTATAGATTTTCTTATTGATTTATCTCATTCCTTCAGTTTAAATCTTGAGCAGAGTCCCAGTTTCTGGGAAGTAAGGAGTCTTTAAGCCCCTTTTCCTGGCTACCAGTTATCCATTTGTATCTCACACCACCTGGGGGAGCTTTTACTCAGTATACTTTCTGTCCTGCAAGGATGATTTTGTGATTTTGCCAACAGTGGAGCTGTATCTGGAACCAGTGGCTGTGCACAGTGGGAGCCCTGGAAAGTACAGCAGCCCTGTCACCTGCAGGCTCAGCCCTAGGGCCAGATTATCTCCAGCAGCCTTGAGCTGTTCTGAGAAGCAGTTTGGTGCAGCCAGATGTTGAGGCTGTAGGATTTGTCTTCAAAGAAAAACCCCGAGAGACATGATCCCCCATGTCTTTGGGTGAGCTCTGAAGCAGATCCATCCATCTGAATATGCAGAAACTTCCAACAGCAGCAGAGTGGGGAGAATAGGATGGCATTGTCTGCAGGTCCTGGTGAGGTCTTGGTGCCTGCAGGAGAGCTGAGGGGCACAGTGAAGCTGTGGATTAGGGCATCACTCCTGCATCTCACTGCCAGCCACTCACTCTCCATCCAGGAGATGGATCTCCAGTTCTGCGATGCCAGGTTTAACAAAGGGTCCAGCAACAACTAGTTCCTTGGCCCTGCTGCCCGTGGAGATGGAAGGGGCATGATGAATGTGCTGCAGCCTGTGCAGAAGTAGCTGGGGGTTATTTGCATTGTCCCACACTCACCCCAGTGTCCCAGGCAGAGCCGTGGGCTTCACTCCCAGGCACCCACACCTCCTGCAGACAGCAAGGAAGCTTTCTTCTGCCCAGGATTTGGAGTGGCAACAGCTCTTTTGATTCATATAATCTGCTTCACTTCCATGTTTTCTTTGTGCCCCTTGAGATGAGGAGCTGCTAATCTCTCCCTGCTACCTCCAGCCAACAGGATTACCAGCTGTAACCACTAAGCTTTTGCGTGGTTTTTCACTCCCTTTGCTGCTGGTGGGGGATTTTGCTCTGAGAGGCACTTTGCTCACACAGACACTCCTGCTGCTGCTGCTGCTCTGGAGACTGTGAATGTCCCCACACTCTTCTTTCTGCACCAGCCAGGATCACCAGAGAGGGATGAGGGTTGTGTGACTGAGATTTGGGGCCCCGCAGAAATCCATCTTTCAAATCACAGTGTTTTGCTGAGACAGTCACTGCTGGCAGGGATGTTGGCATCGTCTTTAAAAGTGAAAGCAGAATCTCCTCCTGAGGTCTGGTCTGCTCTTCCCTGGAGATTGCTGTCTTTTAGTTATCCTCAGTAACTGCAACTCCTGCCACGATGGAATTATTGCTGTAAATGCTCTTCTGTCCTGGCTCTGCTAAGGTGTAGAAAGAAAACACCAGCAGCAGCTTCAGGTGGAAAACAATTATTTTGATTTGAGCTGAATTATCACAACAGACATCAACGGCATGTCCTAACAGCCTGTGTAGGGGTTCAAGCTGCACTACTGCAGTCGTGTTCCCCTGAGGACAGGGAGGGCTCTGCAAGCCACCACCAGCTTTGGCCAGAGTGTGCAAAGGTGCCATCAGTTGCTGCTTTGTCTCTTGCTCCACATCAAACTTGCTGAAAAAGATTTGCTCTTGGTTTTGGCTGGCCTGAAGGAATCACCTTCATCTTGGACTCTGAAGCAAAGGACATTGTCTGGCAAGGTCACCTGCCCTAGGAGGGTACCAGGCTTGGTGACCCTGGGGGAATATTGCCAGTCAGTTCCCCACACAGCTCTGTATCTCAGGAAACCCAGAGGGTTCATTTGCCTGTGTGTGAGAGACATTTTCTGATGCAGTGAAGGAAAGGCTCTGCAGCCTGACACTGCAGGAACAGAGCCCAGATACCTGGTACATTTTCCTTGGGCATAAAGCCTCTTGGAGCTGGCAGCTCTGCCAGGGGAAGTGCTAGAAATGCTTCACGATGCACTTGAAGGTAGCTGGTACAGAATGCTGTCAGCACACAACAGGGAGTCCTTCCTGTCTGGCAGGAGAGTGAACTGGTGCTGCAGCCTCTGCTGCTGCTGAGAATAGCTGGGTAAGGTGATCTCAGACACTGAAGATTGTGTTTTTTAAATATCTGTAACTCACAACATGATTTTTTAATTTATCCCTTCTCCTCCTTCCCCTTTCCTTCTCCTTCCCTTCTTTTCCTTTGCTCACGACAGAGGAGCTGACCCCCACATGCTTTTTGAGAGGCAGACCAGGCAGGGCCCGGGGTCCATCCCAGTGTTGCTCAGAGCCCCACAGCATAAAAGCAGCCTGAATATTTTCCCCCTGGACTGAGCTTTCTGCACCACCCCGTGCAGGAGGCTCAGCACCCAACCCCTCTCCTTGCCAGGGTAGGATGTTCAGCTCCTCGCAGAATCCTCGTCTGACCAGGGACAAAGGTCAAGCTGACAGCCTTATATTGTTTTTGATTAGCAAATTCTGGAATTAGAAGCCATGCTCTATGATGCCCTGCAGCAAGAAGCTGGAGCCAAAATTTCCGAACTTCTTTCAGAAGAGGAGAAGGAGAAGCTGAAGGCGGCGGTGGAGCAGTGGAAGCGGCAGATGATGGGCGAGCTGCGGGAGCGGGACGCCCAGATCCTGCGGGAGAGGATGGAGCTCATCCAGCACGCCCAGCAGGTTGGCAGCCCTGCACGGGCACCCGGGGGGGGGGGCTGGGTGGGACACAGGGAAGCATAACCAACTTGTGAGCTCCAGCTCTTAGAGCTGGGCCCTCGGGCCAGATTTTGTGTTGCCCTGGATGGTCCCTGCAAACAGGGAGTTTCGGTGTCGTGAATTTGTCACCTGCAGTGACGTTCACAGAGGATTCACCCACAGCTTAAAACCCAATCTGGTTGTTGTTTTTTTTAGAAGCACAGCACATCCAGTTTGTGTCTCCAAACATAATGCATCTTCTGGGTACATCTGTATTCGGTTGGTTAATAAATATTTTTTTATTTGAAATCTGACAGAGAATTAAAGAGCTAGAAGAAAGAATTGAAGGCCAAAAAAGACAAATAAAAGAGTTAGAGGAAAAGGTAAGGTAATGCAGATGAAAGAGCTGTCGTGTGTGCACATGCCCATATATCCATTTCACCTTGGCTAAGAAAACATTCCTACAAAAAGTTAGTGTGATAGGGCAGTGAGCCAGCACGGGAGGGCTCCAAAACCGTCCTGCATTTGCATCAGTCCCTCTGAGAAGGAAAGGCTGCAGCTCAAATTGAGTCTTCCCTTCTGTTATCCTCCTGGGAAGTCCAAAACACAAGGACTTGGCAGGGATGTGGGGGCCAGGGAGCAATGGAGAGCTGCTGGGGCAGAGGGATGAGGTCTCACAGGTGCTCCAGGGAAGGAGCTGGGGATCTTTTCTCATCCCATCTCCAGCATTTGCAAGTGCAGCTGCACCAACCTGCCTTCCCCAGAGGGAAAG